AGAAACTGTGAAAACAGAACAATCACATTTTTAAACTCTCCAACTGTCCTTAAACTGTTCACCTGGGATGTGTGGTTCCATCAATAAACATAATGACACCTGAGCTCTCAGGGAGCAGAGAGGAGACGTCGACGCTTCTGGTTTTATCTTTTATATATTCGATGGTGTTTTTCTTGCTCTGGAAACAAGACATCTGTTGCACATGCGTGTTGAGCTGCTTTTAACCCTAAACCCTCAAAGAAGAGCAGAGAGGAGACGACAAGAGAGACTGAGAGGAAAATCAGACCTACTGGATGAATGAATAAATGCAGCATGGATCAGAACCAGTGAACAGAGGAGCCGGCTGTTGGAGATACATCCAGCTGATGGTGGAACATCTTTCTACAACTGACTTTCTACAAAAAACTTTGGAAAGCCAGAAATCAGGAATATGTTTTTGAAATGCTGTTAGAAGAGTAAAGCAGCTCCTTCAGTTGCTGCTTTTTTTCAGCTGTAACTCCAAACATAATTTACAAACCTGAACCGTTGCAGCTGATTGATTCAGATTTCTTGTCACCGTCAGTTGTTCTTGTGATCATATATGAGGAGGTGAAAGTGTGGATTGATAACAACATGGCCCGACAGAGAAGCTTCATCCGTGACTTCACAGAGGAATCGTCATTGACCCCGATGTTGGCTGGATTGATCGACCTGAAGTGGGTTCAGGGTGATCTGTGGTTCGCTGGGTTTCGTCCTCCGCCAGTGCAGGAGTGACTCTGTAAATCAGAGTGAATCTGCCTCTTATCATATCTCAGTTTTGATTAGAGAGCAGTTCATTGGCGGTCGTAAAGCTTCTCTGATAGGAGCGTCTTCGCTCCGCACACAGCTGGCGGTGAGGGGGGCTAAAGTCTGATCTGACTGCCTTCGCCCCGACAAATCACGGCTTATCTACCTGCTGAGTCCAGGTGGGCGCAGCTCCAACACAGCAGGGAGATAAAGAGATGATGTCCTGAACATCTCTCAGATTAAATCTAAATCCACGTGTTGTTCAACAGCTGCATCACAGCATTTAACCCTCCACAGGAAACGGCACAACTGTCTTCTGACGCAGTTAGAAATCTGAGGATTTAAACATTTCTGGCACAAAGAAACGCAAAATTAACAAAAATACGTCCAATGTAGCCACAAAAAAACACACAAGGGAACAACAGCAAGATCCCAAAACACAGCAAAGAGACACCAGAAAGAAGCACAAAGCAACTCAAAACAGATGCGAAATGAACAGCAACGGGCAGAAACTACCACAAAGAGACCGAAGAAACAAAACGATGCAGATCGAGCACAAACGCACAGAAAGTCCGTTTATTATTTATTGTACCAAAATGTAAAACAGGACTCAACATGTTTCCATCACTGGAACAAATGGAAGCTTCACATGTTCCTGATTTTTACCTGTTGATGTTTTTACAAACTGTACAAGTTTTGAGAGAAACTTTAGTCTCTTTACAGTGTTTTTGTCTCATTTTGTGTCTTGTCTGTGTTTTAATTTTCTTGTTTTTTGTCTCGTTTGTGCTGTTTTGCGTGTCTTATTTATGTTTTTCTGTGTTTTGCGTTTCCATTTTGTGTCTCTTTGGACAATTTTGCCTCCTTTCTGTCGCTTTGTGTCAAAATTTTCTAATTTTGTGTCTCAGTTTTCTGGTTTTGTGTTTCATTTTAGGCAATTTATGTCTTTTTGTGATTATTTTGGTCTCTTTGTTGTTATTCTGTGCTGGTTTTTGTGTCTCGTTTTTGTCATTTTGTATGTCTTTGGGACATTTTGTTGATTATTTTGTGTAATTTTGTGTCCTGTTGTCATAATGTGTCTCGGTTTTTGTCATTTGGTGTCTCATTTATGTTGTTTCGTCTCTTTTTTTTGCAATTTTTTATCCACATACTGTGGATGTTTAACCATCTCCATGTTTCCAGCCTCTACAAACTTTTCCTCTCTTACTCTGCTGATCAGCTGTAGAAGGACGTTTCACCGTCCTGACTGTATTTTCCAACAACTCGCTCCTCTTTTTGCATTTATTTTATTGATCCAGTAGGTTTGATTTTGCTCGTCGTCTCCTCTCTGCTCATACTTTGGGGTTTAGAGGGTTAAAAGCAGCAACAAAAACACAAACATTCAATAAATAAAAGATAAAACTCAAAATGTTCTGTCAGAGTTTATGTAACATTTCATCACAAACGCATCGGTTTGTAATTAAATCAACGAATGGAGGAACTTCATCCAAATCCTGTAAACACATAAAGAAGCATTGAAATGAGTCATCGATGTAAACATTAATTAGAAAACTCCTCAACAGATGTGCTGCTGTGAGAGAACACAATCAGCACGTTGATTATCAATAATGACTCGCAGCAGGTCAATGTTCCACTGCTTTAGCCTAAAGAACCACAGGAGGCACATGTTTGTGATGTTAGACGCCGCTGCTCTGAGCGACTACATCTCCCATGAGTCTCAGCTGCAGCAGAAGCCTGACTGAAGCTGCTGAACAGACAGACGTCATCCTTCAAACATTTCAGGCTTGTTTGTGTCGTGTTGCTGATTCTTTGCGTTTTGGTGTCTGCAGGTCATTTTCCCAACAAGGCGATGCCATCGGCGGGAACGCTGCCGTGGATCCAGGGCATCCTCTGCAACGCCAACAACCCCTGCTTCAGGAACCCGACACCGGGCGAGTCTCCGGGCATCGTGGGCAACTTCAACGACTCCATGTAGGTGTAAAGCCTGACTCAGAGAAACAGGAAGTCTTCATTCATTTTACTGTTTTTACAATCTGGAGGAACTTGTGAAATCAATGTTTTTAACGTTTGAGCAACGTAAATGGAACAATCTGCGGCAGGTTCACCTGTTGGTCTGTCAGGTGGTCTCACCTGGTCGGCCTGTGGTGGTTTTATGTCTCTTTGTGTTAATTTTTTGTCACTTGTTACCACTTTGTGTCACTTTGTGGTTGTTTTGTGTCTATTTTGTGGTTGTTTTCTATCTGTTTGTGGTGTTTTGGTATCTCTTTGTGGTGCTTCTGTATCTCTCTGTTTGTGATTGTTTTTTCTTTGTGTTGGTTTTGTGTGTCTTACTGGTGCATATGTGTTTGTGGTTGTTTTGTCTCATTGGACCTACATCTTTCTCCACTCTCTGGCATTTCACAGACCAAACAGCTGATCGATTCATCCAAAGCATAACTGACAGGTTCATTGGTTTCAGCTGTGTAGTTGGTTAAAATGTGACACTTTGAAGCGAACATTAATCTAACAGGATCGCCATGTTTGTTTTGTTTGGCAGAATTTCTCGTCTGTTCTCTGACGCCAAGAAGATTCTTCTGTACAGTCAGAACGATAAAAACCTGGAAGGCTTCAAGGAGCTGGCTCGAGCTCTGCAGGTGCTGCAGGCCAGTCGCTCAGGTAAGAAACTGAAACCACCTCAGTTATTCTGAACCTGCAGGAAAAACTTTACTGTCGAGAGCAGGGGACTCAAACTCAACTTACCTGGAGGTAAGAGTCTGGGTGAGGCTGGGTATTCCACAAAAAAAGGGTTTCAAGTATTCCAAAATGGTACAACTGATCCAATCTTCTCAATCTTTATTAAAAACAATTCTGAACATGAACATTCTTCAGAACATAGGCTTCTCCTACCTACTCCTTGCTGCCTGCCAGAGACCCGGCAGCGCTTCCTCCTTCACAGCTGAGCCACGTTTGTCTCGAGAGAGGAGGCCATTGAAACCATCAATATGGCCTGAAGATGCTCATCAGCAAGTGTGGACCTGTACTTTGACTTATTAAAGTTCATGGTGGAGAAGAGCTTTTCACACAGATAGAAAAAAGCAAAAAAAAACAACCACATTTGCACTGGGTGACAGGATATATTTTCTCTCCACTCGGTGACACTAATTCGTGATGCTGTCATGAGCCTGAGCTATGGTGGCCCACAAGTGATAAAAAATAGAAAACGCCCAGAGCAACGTCTCACGAAGGTGCATGTGAGAAAAATGTGCGGGTTGCACTAACACTAAACTTTGATGTCAGGTAGGCGGCCACAAAATATCAGACCGTGGGCCTCAATTTGAGTTTGGGGGAGTTTGAGACCCCCGGTGTAGAGGGAGAGAGATCTCAGAAAGGTCTTCTGTGCAGAACAATGCAGTTAGAATGACAGGAAAATGGGAACAAAAAACTTCCTTCATTATGTAGTTTACAAAAATATTAAAACTAAAAACCTGAAATCAACATATCCAAGATTTTGTCAACAGGTTTTACCAACACTGGAAAAAATGGAGGTTTGACACAAATAAGACACCAACAGAAAGGGAACAAAACTGTCTTTTAGATTGTAAAAGTAAAAGTTTGATAAAGGTGTGATCAGGGAAATATCTCCAGCACGTGGAGCCTCCGTGTGTTACTAACACCTGGACACTTGGAAAAAGGTTGGACGTGTTGATTCCAAGTTTTTCAGTTTTTGTCAAATAAATACAAAAGCATGTAGCCTGCGGCGGCATGAATCTGTTTTAGTGTTTTAATCCAGCGTGGGCTGCTCTCACATCAGCAGCAGCTTTAAGGCGACGAGTCTCTGCAAAGCTTTCAGGGCTCAGCAGGTTCTCAGCTGTCCCTCCTCTGCTGCCGGTTTCTTCAGGCTCATTGAGCAAAAAGAATTTAGCTCCTTTGTGCTTTAATTTGCAGTTGTGTGTCGTTGTGGGGGGGGCGTCTTTTTACGCTACCTGCTGCGACCTGCCGGCTCTCCTCCCTCTGATGGAAACTCTTTATTCTGTTCTGATGAAGCTGCTGGCCACAGTGATGAAGCAGGACGAGCTGCAGCAGATTTACCTGTTAGCGTCTCAGGTGATCTCACCTGGTCTCACCTGGTCACACCGAGGTCATTTATTGTCACTTTGTGGTTGTTTTGTGTCTTAATATGGTCATTTGAAGTATGTTAGTGGTGATTTTACATCACTTTGTTGTAGTTTTGTGGGTGTTTTGTGTCCCTTTCAGGAGTGTTCTGTTTCCCTTTGCAGTTGTTCTGGATCTCTTTCTGGTTGTTGTGTTTCTTTGTTGTTGTTTTACGTTTTTTGTGGTCGTTCAGTGTCATTTTCTTTTGTGTCCCTTTTAGTTGTTGTGATCATTTGGGGTGTCTTTGTAATACTTTTGTGTCTCTCTGCTGTTGTTGGACGGACTTTCCAGGAAGAATTGTTAGCAGGCTCTTTGTCACCTTGTGACTCTTTAGGGCAGCAGTGGTGGAATGTGATTGGCCGGTCCTGTGGCCCCGCCCCTGCAGGTGGCGGTCAGCGTGCGGCCGGTGTTTGTGTCGTCCTGTCGTGTTGAGTTTGGTGCCGCTCGGCTCGGCGGCACCACGCTGAGCGTCACTGAGTTCGAGCTGCAGCTGAACAAACGTATCAGAGCTCAACTGTTTGGAGGTTCATCCATCTAACACACTGCTCTGTGTGTGTGGTGTGTGTGTGGTGTGTGTGTGTGTGCATGTGTGTGTGCGTGCGCGCGTGTCTGATGTGTTGAGAGCGTCTCCCGGTGACCAATCAGAGGCAGGTATGAAGCTGACTGCGAGTCGAGCTGCTCTGCAGGAGGAAGCTGCTCCTCATTTCACCAATCACATCACAGCGAGCGGCTGATGTCAGACAGCTGGACCTGTCCTCTGACCCGGCACTAACCGTCACTTCACACGGTCGGATTTTTGTCCCCGTGAGGCCTTCGTACCTCATTTAGACATTATCAGTTGTAACTGCTGCCTCATTGTTCCTCACTGTAGTTCATTTTCCCCGCATATAAAGTCCTGCACCTCGATGGAATCACATGAAGAAGGACAGAGACGTCTGCAGCTGGTGTTCCTGCAGAGCAGAGAGAAGAGAGACTGAGAGAAAAATCAAACATATTGGATCAATAAGATAAATGCAGCATGGCTCAGAAACGGTGAACAGAGCAGCCAGCTGTTGGAGAAACATCCAGCATGGTGGAACATCTTCCTACAGCTGATGGTGGAACATCTTTCTGCAGCTGATGAGCAGAGCAGAGAGGAAGAGTCAGTAGAGGCCGGAAACATGGAATAAAAGTAGTTAAATATCTGTAGTATGTGGAGACAAAACGACCACAAAGAGACTCAAAACAACTTACACTAGACTCAAAACAACGAGACACAAACTGACAAAAACAAAATGAAAGAAAAGAGACAAAACAGCATCAACGAGACATAGAATGACACAAAAGACAGAAAAAGCAAAACACTCACATCCAGACTTGGAATTACAGAAAACAACACAAAAAACAGACTAAACTTTGCCTCAGAGCTTGTATAAATGTCAATAGTTAAATGTCTGTTTTGTCAGGTATTGGTAAAACTGTACATGATGCGTCCATTTCAGTAAAATAATTATTGGAGTAAAGGTTCTGATTGGTGCCATTGTAGCTGAGTCATTCTGCACAGAAGACATTTCTGAGTTCTCTCTCTTTCCTCAGGGTTGTTCTGTCTCCGTAGAGGAGCAGGACTTTATATTGCAGTGAATCAATGAGCCACAATGAGGTACAATGAGGTTTACAGCTCTGAGCGAACGTGTGAGGAGAAGCTTGTCCTTGTTCTTCTTCTGCCTGTCGGAACCTGCCGGTGGGCGTGGCCTGTGTGTGGTGGTGGTGGTGGAGGGGGGGGTCCTCCATAGAAAATGTCAGCGGCGGTTCTCTTTAGTGGAAAGTTTGAGCTGCAGACGTGTGACAACATGCAGCTCATGACATTTAAACGTGACCAACATCCAGCTGCTCCCACTGCTTCATTTACATGCAGACGTGCCGTCCCAAACCCAAATATGGTCATCACTTCCCCCTGACAACCACGATGCTGATTGATATCTCCGACCAGGATCAGTGTTCAACAGTTAGCCTGAGAATATGTGAAATGTTAATCTGTAAAAGAATTACTTCACATGAACTCAGCTGTGTCTCTTCAGGAAGTCTTTTAATCTCATCGCTCTTTTTATTCATTTTTAACATTTTTATCCATGTAATTTTTTTATTTGTAATTATTAATATAATTATTTATTTGTAATTGAATTGCCTTCACTGCAGTCTCATAATGTTCAGTCCCTGGTTCAACAACACAAAGCACAGTGTGATTACAAAACCGCCACAAAGGGACACAATCAACCAAAACAGACACACAAAAACCACAGAGATGCAAAATAACCAAAAACAGATGCGACATCGCCACAAAGACACACAAAATGAGCACAAAGAGATGCAGAACCACCAAAAAGAGGTACCAAATGACCAAATTGAGACATGAAACAACCACCAGACAAACAATTTTCATTTCATTCATTTCAGACATGCCACAGTATCATAAATACAAACAAAGGAAAATAAATACATTATACAAAAAAACAAAACAACCAAACCAAATCCTAAAACCTAAAATAATGCCTGAATAGATTAGGATGAACTTATTAACTCCAACCTGCTCACATCTTATTGTTTCCCGTTTACATCAAACCTTCTACTTTTGTACCTCTTTCGAAACTCCAGAACTTACTTTTCCATATTATTGTATTTTTAAGCAACTTTTTTTATTGTATTCTTTTTAAAATAGTTTTATAGTTGTGCTCATTTGGACATCATCGTCCAGACTGTTCACGTTCAGTGACGACAAAGCAACACAAAATGACCACAAAGTGATGCGACGCCACCACAAAGAGACACAAGAGTCATTCCATGATGCTTGAGTGCTTTTTGTTAAGCCTCAGTCTAAATAAAAGGCACCTATAAAAGTGTTTTTTCTGCCCTGAATCGAGTCTGCAGGTGTTCCTCCTCCACCAATCAGAGAGCAGATTACAGTAACCTGAGAGGCCTGCAGAGCCTTTCATCAGCTCCTCACCTCTGTGTGTAATCAGCTCATTTCTGATCAGATTTTAGTGACGGAAAACTGAAACCAAAGTCTAATTTTCACCAGTGGGGGGACGCGTCTCCCTGTCTGCCGTAAACGTTGCACCGCCGCGTTTTGTGGGGACGAAGATTTGCATGGTTTTGGCAGAAAAGGCCGAGATTTACAGGAGGAGGAGGAGGCGGCGTCGGGTTTCTCTGACCTGCTCTGTTTGTCTGCTTTTTCTCCCACAGGCTTCAAGTTGAAGCATTTCCTTCGGGACAATGAGACTCTGTCGAGCTTTCTGCTGAGAAACGCCTCCTTCCCCGAACACAGCGTCCAGCACATCACAGAGGCCGACGTCAACCTGGAGAAGGTGATCTGCACATGCTCAGTCTCAACACAGTTGGCCCCTCAGGCCATCGCCAGGGAATAGGCCTCACATTTCATTCAGGAGGAAAGTGAAGCTGATTATGTGACGTAAACGACCCAAAATGTGGACTAAAACTAATACGGAGTGAGAAAGAAGTCTCAGAATGCAGAACAAAGCCGGAAACAAAAGTCTTGTACAGAAAGTATGGATTTATATGTGCAGGCATGAACAAGAGTTAAAAATAAATATTGAACATGAATGTGGAATAAAATCCTGTAAAAATGGAATAAAAAAAAGTCCCAAAAGGAAAACAGAAAGAATGAAAATGCTAGAAACACTTAAAAAATCTAAATAAGTCTGAAATATGTAATAAGAATCAGATGATATGAGACAAAAGTTAGATGAGGTGGAAGTCCACAGCAGAAAAAAAAGGTCAGCACAGAATAAAAGTGTAAAGTAATGTAATAAAAGTCCCAAAAGATTAATAAATGGCACAAAATACTGAAAAACTCAGTAAATATGTGCCTTAAAATGTGTAATAAGAGTCAGATGAGAGAGTCAAGCCCTCAAACAATGAAAAGAATTAGACAATACAGAATAAATCTTGAAACATGAAATCGAAAAAGGAATAAAATTTAAAAATTAATACAATTTAGAAGACTACGGAGTCAGAATGTTTTTAAATATACGGGGAAAAAGTCAGACAAACAAGAAATAACGTTCCAAAACATTAGAAGAACTCAGAAAATATGGAATAAAAGTAAATGATTATTGATGTTTATGTGTTTTAGGACCTTAGTCGCACTGACCCAGCGCCACACATCATGAAGTCATTTAGAGTTTGCAAAGCCGATCCGTTCATGAGCATTTAAATATATACAACACAACACTGTGGTAATGAAAGAAGAACAGAACTGTCTAAAGTTGTGGTATTTGGAGGTGAGATTTAGAAATATTAAGACTCTCTTTTAAAACTTGAGATTGTAGAAGTAAATTGAGCATGCTGAATGTGGAATATATCTGTGAATAGTAAACCAAGTTGAACTTTATGGAATGAAAGTCTAAATATGTTGAGTCAGTTTAAAAAATATGGAATAAACAAAACCTACAAAAAGAAAAAATACATATACAGAAAAAAAAGAAAATTGAAAGTCTGAAAATGTGGAATAAAAATCAGAAGGTATGAAATAGAAGTCTCAAAGGAAGGAGTCCAAAATACTGGAACAAAAATTCAGTGGATATGGAATAAAACTCCAGAAAAGGTGGAATAAAAAAAAACGTACAGGAACAAGATATTCCTGATTGAAGACGTCCCTGTCTGCTTTCTGTTCCAGGTCCTCTTCAGAGGTTTCGGAGTCCACCTCAGAGACATGTGTCCCAGGAAGGGCGGCAGGCAGCGTCTGGAGGACTTTGTGACCATTTCGGACCAACAGGTGTCGATGCTGGTACAGGAGATCATCTGTCAGGCTCCGCCCACCTGGCTGGACCACGCCGAGCAGCACTTCATGGACAACCTAGACTTCTTCAAACCAATCCGGGTAAAAGCACACCTGCTGACATCACTCTGCTGATGTCTGAGACAAAAGAGTGAATGAGTCTCTGGACAGTTTTAACTCTGAACCCCAAAACCAGGCCAGTTAGAAACACGTTGTCTTCATAAACATCTCCAAAATGACACCATTTATCAGCCACAAACTGTAAAAGCAGAAAAACTATATAGATTTTTAATTTATCCTTCTGGAAAATTCTCCAAATGCTTGCTTAAAAGTAATATATTTCATCAAAATCACTTTATTCTACATGTCTCAATTAAAAATAAGCTCTTTGCTCAAACCAAATTCTGTGAAACAGTAAAAATTCTCTTCTTGTTCCAACTGATTCTCTGTGACCAACTCAGCTGTGACCGACTGTTAAAAATTCAGAGTTTCCAAGTTGAACTGCAGGAAGTGTTTCCTTAAAGAGACTGAGAGGAAAATAAACAGCCAGTTGCTGGAGATACATTCAGCTGATGGTGAAACATCTTTCTACAGCTGATGAGCAGAGCAGAGAGGAAAAGCTTGTAGAGGAACATGGAAATAAATAAATATTTCTAGTATGTGGAGACAAGTCGCCTGCAGATTACTGATCTAACCAGAATCAGGTTTGAGCCAACAGTTCATTTATTGAGAGAGACTTCTGTTCGTTTTCCTGATGGAACTGAAGATAGTTTCAAGGACCGAGACGGCTATAAATCAGTTGATGACTCTGTTTTTACAGTTTCTGGCTGAGAAGTTGTGTATTTTTAAGGGTAACGTGTGTTTTAAAGTGCTGACTGGTTTTGGCCTTCAGAGGGTTAATGTGTTCAGAGCGCGTCGGTGTCGACTCCAAAAATGTTTGTTTCATTAGCAGCTTTAGCTTCTCCCAGCGTGAGCCCACAAAAAGCCTTCAGCCTGCAGCGCTCGCTCTGTCCCTGATGACCTCTGTGAACACACTCCGTTGTGTTCGCTGGTTGACATGTAACATCACATTTTGCAGACATTTTGTGTATCGGCTCCGCAGCAGATACCTCAGCTGCTCTGCTTCAGGAGAGTAATGACAGAAATAAGTCTGTTTCAGAGCCCGGCTCTGCCCTGAGTTTTGTTTGCAGGCCGTCCTCCCAAGTTTTTACACGCTAACTGCTCTGAAGCACAGTGAGCGTTGGTCCGAGGGCGTTTCCTCCTCGCTCAGGTGACACGGTAAAGGTGTGCTGGCGTGTCCTCGGCTGTGTGGGAGGAGGCGTGTGGCGGCCTGCCTCGCCTCTTTACGGGCTCAGTTTTCGTAGCCTGGAGACCAGTTTTAAAGGCTTTGAGGCTTCAATGCAGCTGCACGTCAGAGAGGCCTCGGCTTCTTTTGTCTGCAGAAATCTACGAGCAGCCGACGGACTGACTGAAGCCGAAACCAACAGAGTCTCCACAGCAGCGCAGAAAGAAATCTGCCGTCCGAGAGAAAGCGCTGTAGTTTAGTCTGAAGTTAAAGGACAGTCAGCAGAACTCAGAACACCAAATGTTCCGATTATTAGACAATACTGACTGGATAGTGAACAAACAGGAGAAACAGCAGTGTCCCCTAATGGACAAAGGCTTTTCTCACTATTTGGATTTTTTTTACACTAATTAATTTAGTTATCTGTCCTATCTCAGTAACTGCAATAAAATGAAAACAAAATGTGGCAGAACATGAAATCAGTCACATGGTTTGAATTCTGAGTTCCAAAATGAAAAATGAGTCCAAAAACACTGGAAAAAAAAAATCAGAAAGTGTGGAATAATGTAATTTAATATGGAATACATCCCAAAATGATGAGTTAAATTCCCAAAACACTGAAAAAGATAATGGAATGATAGTCTTGAAGCACTAAATAAAGAAATATGGAAAATAAAAAGTCCCAAACAGAGGAATTGGAGTCAAAAAGCCTGAAAAAAAAACTAATTGGAGATGGAATAAAGGTTTAAGATGTTGAATAAATGTCCAAAAATATGGAAATAAAGTCAGACAATATGAAATAAGTCCCAGAACAAGGAGTAAAAGTACAAAACACAACAAGAAAACTCCAAAAACAAGCAATAAAAGCCTGAAAATATGAAATAAAAGTTTAAAATGAGGAATAAAAATTTGAAACTCTAAAATAAAACTCAGAATTTGGAATTAAAGTTGTGAAACATGAAACGCAAATCAGAAAGCATGAAATACAGAGCAGAACACAAGTGCAAAACACTGAAAACTTAGAAAACAAGGAATAACAGCCTGAAGATATGGAACAAAAGCTGTAAAATGATAAATAAATGTTAAGAAAAGGTCCTTGCTTGTGTTGCATCTGCTCTCAGATGTACGTCGCTTTGGATAAAAGCGTCTGCTAAATGAACCTGTGGAATAGTAGAATTGTAAAAACTCAGGAAAAACTTAGACAATGTGGAATAAAACTTTTAAAATTAGGAATAAAAACCCAAAATGCTGAAATTAAACTGAGAGAAATAAAATGGAAGTCTTAAAACATGGATCAGAAAATATTTTTAAAAGTCTAAAATACTGAAAAACTCAAACAACAAGGAATACAAACCATAAAAATGAAATAAAAGTTGTAAAATGAGGAATTAAAGTCCAAAACCTTAGAAAGTCTGAGACAATGAGGAATAAAAGTCTGAAAACATGGAAGAAAAGTTACACCGTGATAAATATTAGGTTTGTTTATATAGCTGTTGGTTTGTAGTATGAACCACACATCCCAGAATTTAGTCTGAACTGAAGCTGAAAACTGAAACGTCTCTTTGTGTGTCTTAGAGGGACGTGACGTCCGACCCCGAGGCCGTCCAGCACGTTGCCAAGGCGACCAACAAGCTCCTGGACAGCCTGGGTTTGCTGGCAATTGAGGTAAGACGCACACACCTGATCGACACTCAGGTATCTGATGGACAGACGTGTCCTCTGGGTGTCTCTCTGGGACAGACGAGCTCCCAGCTGAACAAAGACTCGAATGTCACAGCAGGTTTTTACTTAACTGCGTGTCAGGAGGAGACGACTCGAGTCTGAACAAACAACAAACTGTCAGCGTCCGTCTTCGTCCCGCTGAGACGCTGCAGATGTCTGCAAGGAGACATGAGCAGCGTGTTGGAGGTCACAGCAGCACTCAGCAATGTTTGACCAAATTCTAGTCCCAGAGACAGACTGGGGACAGACTGGAGGCAGACTGGAGCCAGACTATAGAAGTAATGGGTGCAGACTGGGAGCAGAAGTTTGTCCCCAGTCTGTTGCCAGTCTGTCTCCAGTATGTCCCTAGTTTGTCTTGAATTTGAGCCCACTGTTTCTACATTATGTCCCCATTTGCCCGTGATATGTCCTCAGCTGGTCCCCGGTATGTCTCTAGTTGGTCCTCAGTATGTCTCCAGTTGGTCCCCGGTATGTCTCCAGTCATTCCCCAGCTTGCCCTTGGTCCTCAGTTTGCCCACAGTTTGTCCTCAGTTGGTCCCCGGTATGTCTCCATTTGGTCCCCAGTTTGTCTCCAGTTGGTCCCCAGTATGCTTCCAGCTCGTCACTAGTATATCTTGTCAATAGTTTGTCCCCAGTTTGTATCTGGTGTGTTTCCAGTATGTCTCCAGTGTCTCTCCAATATGTTCCCAGTATTTCTACAGTTTGCAATCTTTAAACTGGGGCCAGACTGGGAGTAAACTATAAACTGGCACTTAAGTGGGAACAAACTAGGAGCAGATTGGGAGTTAACTGCAAGTAGACTGGCACGAAACTGGAAGCAGACGGGCAGTAAATTGGGAGTGGACTGGAAGTAAACTGGGATTAAACTAGGAATAGACTGCCAGTTACCTGGGAGCAGACTGGGAGTAAACTGGGAGTATACTGGTGGTAAACTGAGGGTAAACTGGGAGTATACTGGGAGCATACTGGGAGCTTGTGGCTGTAGAGCAGAGCTGGATAATCAGAGTAAAGTTCAGTCACACTGACTCAGATGTTGTTTTTCCGAGCAGGTTATCACACTCTTTAAAACACAAAGTGGAAACATGTGACTGAGCGCTTTGTTTGGTTTGTGCAGATGCTGAATCAGGAACACACGAGCCGAACGCAAACTTTACATCATAAAAGTGAAGAATCCACAGATTTACAGCTGGCAGTAAAGACATGTTTCAGTCCTGATCGTGTGTCTCCGGTTTTGTCCTGAGGACAGCAGACAGTTAACGCAAACATCTGACCTACTTTCCTCTGCAGGAGTCTTAGGTCAGCCTGCAGTCTGGTGGATTCACAGGGAAACAGCTGCTTCGCTTCACTTTCAGAACACGAGTCAGAACAACTACGAACTAATCAAGTTTTTCATCAATTTGGTGGTTATTTTATGTAGTTCATAAACTCAATCTTGTCCAACATAGTTTGTCAGAGTAAAGAGCGACAGACTGGAGGAATACTGGAGACAAACTGGAACCGCTGTGGAAATTAGATTTTTGGTTTCATGGTTGTCTCTTACGTATGAAGGTTTTAGAGTCTTAAAGACATTCAAACATTTTGCAGGACACTGACATAACCTGCAAATCCATCTCAAAGGACACTTTACGTCGTGTGCCCGACAGTATTTGAGGACAGAAATGAAGGGACAGAAGTGTCTGTTCCTAATGAGTCACAGCTCCCTGACTTCACTCTGCTGTCAGCAGTTATTCTGTGCGAGCAGAGGTCAGGTTTATTCTGAGATCATTCTCTGTGTGGACAAATGTCTTGCTGACCTGTTGGCTTTCACTGAAGTGTGTTTGTTCTGACCAATATCCTTTGTGCCCCCGTCCTACAGCTGGCCAGTATGAAGAGCTGGGTGGACCTGAGGAACGAGATCGTGTTCCTGACGAAGAACGCCACGTCGTCGCCCAGCACCATGTACCAGGCCGTGTCCCGGATCGTGTGCGGTCACCCTGAAGGCGGCGGCCTGCAGATCAAATCCCTCAACTGGTATGAAGACAGCAACTACAAGGCTCTGTTCGGGAACCACAACAGCAGCGAGGACGAGCCGGCGGCCCTCTACGACAACTCGTCCAGTGAGTCCTCAGGGTGTCCTCTGATTGGACTTTATTCTGTCTGTCCGCTGCAGGGTCTGACCTTCAGGTGACCTGCAGGTAGATGTAGATGTTTAAGACGCAATGTGGACACTTCTGGTCCTCAAATCATCCACTGCAGCTGTGGACTGTCTTGTGTTTGTCCCCAGTTTGTTTCCAAGATTTCTAAAGTCTGACCCATTGTGTCCCTAGCTTGCCTCCAGTTTGTTCCCACTACCTTTACAGTTTGTTCCCTGTGTGTCCCCAGCTTTGTCCTCAGTTTGTCACCACTAATTCTGAAGTTTGACGTAGTATGTCCCAGTTTGCCTCCAGTATTTCTCCAGTTTGTTCCCACTACCTTTACACTTTGTTCCATGTCCCCAGCTTGTTCCTAGTGTTTGTTCAGTTTGTCCCCACTTTGTTCCAGGTTTGTCACCAGTTTGTCTCCACTATTTCTACAGCTGGCACCATTAAGCCCTCTGTTGGTCCCCAGTATTTGTCCAGTTTGTCCCCACTACTTCCACAGTTTGTTCATAGCGTGTCCCCAGTTTGTCTCCAGTATTTCCCCAGTTTGTAGCTGGTATTTGTCCCCATTATGTCTCCCACTTTGTCCCCACCTTTTCTTCAGTTTCTCCCAGACAAATGCTTCTCATTCATAAATCGTTCACAGCTGTGGAGCTGACCGGCTGTGCATCAGTCCATAGGTGTTTCGATTAAAGACATTACTCTGGGACTCTACAGACAGAGAAGGAACTAGCTGGTGCAATAAAATTCTGCCAAATGCAGGAAATGAAATCTTTGACGCCCCAAATGTCCTGGAGGACAATGTTCTGACTTTCTGAGTCATGCTGCATTTATTTCATTGATCCGGTATGTTTTTAATCTCGGTCTCTCTTGTCATCTCCTCTCTGCTCTGTGCCCGCGGTTCACCTGAAAACTGTTGGTCACAGCTGAGTCGGTAATGAACAATCAGTTGGACTGAGGAGGAAAGAGTTTTTAGTTTATCTGTTTTTTACAGAATCTGCAGCAGATGGTTTATTTTTTAGAAAATCCTAAATGACACGTGATGTACAGCGATTTTGAAGAAATATTTGGAGCCCGGATTTGGTTCATTTTCCTGATGGAACCAAATTTCACAGATGATACGTTCAAGGACCATCAGAAAGTTTAAAATCTGCTGATTTTTGCTACTCATTTTTTTAAGAGATAACATGTCTTTCGAATCTGCCAGCCGGTTTTGGGGTTGAGAGGGTTACATTCTTGTGGTGCATTCAAAGACAGACTCCCTGTTAGTTATTATTTGCTGTGTTCACCTGAAGGGATCGTGAGATGACAGGTTCAAACACATCTGCTGGAAAACACTGTTTCATTTATATGTCAGCCAGGACTAATTTCCATATTGTGTGTCTGTGTGTGTGTGTCTGTGTGTGTCTGTCTCTGTCTGTGTGTGTGTCTGTGTGTGTGTCTGTGTGTGTGTGTGTCTGTTATGTGTCTGTTGTGCATCGGTTGTGTGCTGCAGCTCCGTACTGTAACAGCCTGGTGAGGAACATGGACTCCAACCCGATGTCCAGGATGATCTGGCAGGCAGTGAAGCCGCTGCTGATGGGGAAGATCTTGTACACGCCGCACACACCGGCCACGCAGAGGATCATCCATGAGGTACGGTATACCTGTGACAGCACAGGTCCCAGGTGTCTGATTGGTGACACCTGGCCATAAGGTGCGTTTAAGGTGCTACCGTAGAGCCTGCAGCTGCTTCTGGAAGGCTGGACGACACAGACAGTCTCACCTGTCTGTCTGTCTGTCTGTCTGTCTGTCTGTGTGGCGTTCAGGTGAACTGCAGTCTCTGCTGTGTTCAGGTGACCTCACCTGTTTGTTTGTGCTGCATTAAAGTGACACTCGGCCTCTCCTGTCTGTGCTGCGTTCAGGTGAACCGGACCTTCCAGGAGCTCGGTGTGTTCAGGGACCTGGGTGGGATGTGGGAGGAGATGAGACCCAAAGTCTGGAACTTCATGGAGAACAGCCAGCAGATGGACCTGATCAGGGTAAACAGGCTCCGCCCATCACCTCACCTGTTTGTTCTGAATGACGCGTTGTAAACTTCACCTCACTCGGCTCTCACTCTTGCCTGTTGTTCAGACTCTGTTGAAGAACAACGTCACCGCCGGTTTCTTCCACACTCAGCTGTCCAGCACCGGCTGGACCGTCGCCGACGTCTCCAACTTCCTGTCCAAGAAGGCGGAGGACCGGCCGGCCAGCGGCGCCCTCACCTGGAGGGAGGTGTTCAACGAGACCGACCAGGCCATCATGAGCATCTCTCGCTTCATGGAGGTCAGTGTTAGTTCTTCTAAAGGATAAATATACATTAAACTAAACATAAAACTCTTGGGTGGCTGAACACTCGCTTATCAGCAGACACTGCAGTTTACAGGTGTTCCCTAAATGCCTCACAGTAATCAGTAGATGATCTGACACCCCCACTGCCAGGTAAAAATGAGACGGTTAGCCCCTCGTGTGAGCCGCAATTGCAGCATGTAGCAGTTTTATTATTTTAATATTATGATTTAATGAAAAATACACATTAAAAAATATATAAACACATATGTATGTATCACATATAGAATAGTGGCTCCCTCTATAGACATGATGTAAACTTACAGACTGTCACCTGAAGAATACTTTGCTAAGGTGAAACCTTTAGTACAAAAATGACTTTGAAGTTTCTGTTGCTGACCTGGTTGTAACCTGCTGTGTGGCCTTTTTCCTACCTGGTTTTGACCTGTTTCTGATCTGGTTTTAGGAAGTGTTTTAGACCTTTTTCTGAAAATTGACTTGAGAAATAGTTACCACAAAATATCTGTAAACACTTAAGAAAAATCAGTAGTGAAACAGGAATATTTTTCTGGACATTATTAATGGTTTCTTACGTTAGTGTGTAAATGAATACTTTTTGTTTGGTTTTATTAGTTATTATTTGTAATTCAACACATTGATAAATCTGTAAAATGACAGTCAACAAATGTGTAAAAAATCTTTTTACTGTGTAGAGTGTGATGGTTACCTGTCAGCAGGTGTGTACAGATCACATGACCTGACTTCTGTCTGTGTGTGTGTATTAGTGTGTGAACCTGGACAAACTGCAGCCAGTCTCCACTGAGGAGCGACTGGTCAACCAGTCCATGCTGTTACTGGAGGACAGAAAGTTCTGGGCGGGGATCGTGTTCCCGGACATCCCGCCCAATGCCACCGAGCTGCCGCCCAAACTCAACTACAAGATCCGCATGGACATCGACAACGTGGAACGCACAAACAAGATCAAAGACGCGTAAGGACACACACAGATCTAAGCATCGTGGATTGAAAGAGCAATTTGAAAGAGCCAAAACTGTCCCAAAGAGACATTAAACAACCAAAATGAGACATAAATGAGGCACACAATAACAAAAAATGAGACATAAAACACAAAAAAGAAGCAAAATGACACCAATGAGACACAAATCTTAAAAATGAGTCACAAAACAACACAAATGAGACAAAAAAACGAGACAAAAAACACAAAAGTTAGACACAAAACTATTAAAAAAAAAAGCAGTAAAAAGCAGAATGAAAAAAAAACAAGACAAAACAACACAAATTAAGTCACCAATTGAAAAAAACGAGTCACAAAAGAACAAAAACAAGACAGAATACAACAAAAAGGAGACATTTAAGAAAAATGAGACGCAAAATAACATCGGGGAGACAAAACTGCACAAATGAGGCATAAAACTAAAAATGAGACACAAACAAAGCAACGAGACTAAATGACGAGATATAAAACTACAAAAACAATACACAGAACGACAACAAACAAGACTAAATGCAAAGATTCAAAACTACAAAATGAAAGAAATGAGACAAAATGACAACATAGAAAACGACACAAACGGGACACAACTTCACAAACAGCAACACAAAATTACACAAACAAGACAGAATGAAAAGATAAAAAACTACAAAAACAAGACACAAAATGACAAAAAAACTACACAAAACCCCCAAAACGAGAAGATATGACAGGATGCAAAGCTATAAAATGTTAGTGAATAATACACAAAACAATAGACGCAACAAAACACAACACAACAGATATGAGACACAAATAACACAAATGAGACACGACATGAATTAGACAGAATACAACACAGAAGAGAACATTTAAAGTTTGTGAAGCTGTAGACATGTACATAGGTAATTGTGTATATCATGGGAAGCCTCCATGTGTTGTAACACCTGTGGACACTTGGAAAAATATTGGACATGTTGGTTCCACGTTTTTTACATTTTTCTAATATAAAAAATAGTTTAAACGTTCTGATGTGTCTCGCTCCTCCTTCACGGTTGTTCTTTATGCTGCAGTGAGAAACAAGCCCACAGTGAAGAAACGTGGGTTGAGGTTTTTCAGCACCTGTGCTGGACGTTAAATTCCCTCCTGCTTTCCGTCCTCTTCAGGTACTGGGATCCGGGTCCTCGTGCCGACCCATTTGAGGACATGCGGTACATCTGGGGCGGATTCTCGTACCTCCAGGACGTCATCGAACAGGGCATCATCAGAGCGGTGACGGGCACCAAGGAGAAGACGGGGGTCTACATCCAGCAGATGCCATACCCCTGCTATGTAGATGACATGTGAGTTTGCTGGCAGCGTTTCAGCCGTCCAGAGTTTCCAGGTGTGGTCGTGTGTCGCTCAGACCTCCTTTCCTCTGTCAGCTTCCTCAGGGTGATGAGCCGCTCCATGCCTCTCTTCATGACGCTGGCCTGGATGTACTCGGTGGCCATCATCCTGAAGAGCGTGGTGTACGAGAAGGAGGCCCGGCTCAAGGAGACCATGAGGATCATGGGACTGGATAACGGCATCCTGTGGTTCAGCTGGTTCATCAGCAGCCTGATTCCTCTGCTGATCAGCGCCGGACTGCTGGTGCTGCTTCTCAAGGTGACCACCCTGAACACATGCAGCACACAATGAGCGATAGCAACCACACAACCCTGAGGCACCTGGGTCACGCTGTTTTTACTGCAGCACTGAGAAAATTAAACATGATATAGTGCCGAGAGAAGAAAATCCTGGAATTATGTGTTCATCAGTTAGACAATGTCAGCACCTACAGTTTACAACAATAGGCTCAGGGATATCCAAACCCCAAAACCGTGAGTACAACCCTATAAAATATCTCTGAAACATCAAATGGTTCTAAACTGTGTCACCTCATAGTAATCTGATGATTTCTGAGTTGAACAATAGACGAACCATCCATCCATTATCTATACACCACTTAGTCCTCACTAGGGTCGCGGGGGGGCTGGAGTCTATCCCAGCCGACTCAGGGTGAAGGCAGGGGTCACAGTTAGGGCGGGGGGGCTGTGAGGCGACAGTGCTAATCAGCCACCGTGCAACCCAGTCTAGAATCATTTAGTTTTTAAATGATATTACACAGATGCATACTCACTGCTGTTGGATGCCTTTGAAAGACGTCTTCACCACTTGACTGATGCGACTGCTCTCACTGTGTCCTCTACAGAAGGGGAACCTGCTGCCCTACAGCGACCCCGGCGTCGTCTTCCTCTTCCTCGGGTCTTTTGCCGTGGTGACCATCATGCAGTGTTTTCTCCTCAGTACAGCGTTCGCCCGGGCTAACCTGGCAGCTGCCTGCGGAGGAATCATCTACTTCACCCTCTACCTGCCCTATGTGCTCTGTGTCGCCTGGCAGGACTACATCGGCTTCGGGGCCAAAGTCTTCGCCGTAAGCTAGCTGACACTTTGATGCTTTTGTTTGTGATTGGACGAAGAGGGTCACGTGTCTTCCTCTCCTGCAGAGCCTCCTGTCGCCTGTCGCGTTCGGGTTCGGCTGTGAGTACTTTGCCCTGTTCGAGGAGCAAGGAGTCGGCATCCAGTGGAAGAACCTGGTGTCGAGTCCTCTGGAGGAAGACGATTTCAGCCTCCGCTACGCCATCATCATGATGTACTTCGACTCCTTCCTGTACGGAGTCCTCACCTGGTACATTGAGGCTGTGTTTCCAGGTGAGGTGAAGCGAACAGCAAGTTTAAATTTTCACACTGGACTGGACTGAATTTACTGATGTTTGCATGCTGCTTCTCCTCAGGTCAGTATGGGATCCCTCGGCCCTGGTATTTCCCCTTCACTAAGTCCTACTGGTTTGGAGAGAAGGACGGAAAGTCCAACAAAATCCCTCTGAGACGGAAAGGAAACCCTGGAGGTGAGAATGACCATGACTGACCACAAGGTGGAGCCACAGAGCATCGCCTTGAAAACAACATCTGCAGTCATGAAGGCAGAGAAGTCATCACCAATGATAATCTCTTTAGTCAGTGTAATCAGCGAGGTTGTGAAAGGTGTCTGTACCTGTTTCCAGCGGTGTGCATGGAGGAGGAGCCGGCTCACCTGGAGCCCGGAGTCTACATCGAGAACTTGGTGAAGGTTTATCGTCACGGTAAGAAGCTGGCAGTGGACGGACTGACGCTCGGCTTCTACGAAGGACAGATAACCTCCTTCCTGGGACACAACGGAGCCGGAAAAACCACGACAATGTGAGTCCAGGACAGCATCTGCTGAAACACACACTGCTACATGTACAGGTGTACAGATGTAGATACAGAGACAGTTGTAGATACTGGTTCAGGTGTGATGATACAGTAGATACAGGTGTTGGTGCAGATGCACACTGTGACATAGATACAGGCTGTTTACGAGGTTGTTCTGTCTCGTCCTTGCAGGTCCATTCTGACTGGTCTGTTCCCTCCCACCTCTGGTACCGCCTACATCCTGGGCCGAGACATCCGGACAGATCTCAGCGCCATCAGACAGAGTCTGGGAGTCTGTCCACAGCACAACGTCTTGTTCAGCATGTAAGTCCTGTAGCTCTGCTCCTGTCAATCACACAAACAGCTTTGGCTTGGCTTCATTCAGTGTGTCCTTGTTTGTGCTGTGCGCCCCCTGCAGGCTGACGGTGGAGGAGCACATCTGGTTCTATGCCCGGCTCAAAGGCCTGTCAGAGGAGCAGGTGAAAAGTGAGATCGAGCAGATCCTGCAGGACACTGGACTGCCGCACAAACGCAGCTCCAGGACCAGCACCCTGTCAGGGGGCATGCAGAGGAAGCTATCAGTGGCGCTGGCCTTCGTCGGCGGGTCAAAGGTCGTGATCCTGGACGAGCCCACGGCCGGCGTGGACCCCTACGCTCGCAGGGGGATCTGGGACCTTCTGCTGCAGTACCGACAGGGTGAGGCTCTCTTGGTCCGGTTTACCCAGCACCTCTTTGGTTTTTACCATCCAGACTTACCTTCGATGTAATGTCTCGTTTGCCATCAGGTCGGACCATTATCCTGTCCACTCACCACATGGACGAGGCTGACATCCTGGGCGACCGCATTGCCATTATCTCCCACGGGAAGCTGTGCTGCGTGGGCTCGTCGCTGTATCTGAAGAACCAGCTGGGAACAGGCTACTACCTGACGCTGGTGAAGAAGGAGCCGGAACCATCGCTCAGCTCCTGTCGCAACTCATCCAGCACCGTGTCCTTTACCAAGAAGGTATTTACCTCCATCTGCAGTACTACCTATGTCTGTGCAGTATTACCTCTGTTGCTGAAGTATATTCCACAGTATTACCTCTGTCTGTGTGGTACTTTTAGCAGTATTGTCTCTCTCTGCACAGGAGCAATATTTAACACAGTACTCTGCTGCTGCTGCTCAAGAGCAGCAGTGAACCTCAGTCAGCGGTTTCCTGCTTGTCTGAGTTTGTGTAGTACTTTCAACAGTTGTGATTGCAGTATTACCTCTGTTTGAGTAATATTACCTCAGTTGCTGCAGTATTTTCATCAGTATCACTCCTGTCTGTGCAGTATTTACCTGTGTGCAGTGTTTACCTTTGTTTCTGTAGTATTTTCAGCAGTAGTACTTGTCTTTGTGCAATAGCAGTATTTAAGGCAGTACTCTGTGTTTCAGGAGGAGGAGTGCGCCTCGGTGAGCAGCAGCGACGCAGGACTGGGCAGCGAACATGAAAGTGAGGCCGCTACCATCGGTGAGCTTTCTGTCCTTCAAAGCGTTTGATTCGTTCACCTTCAGGAGGATCTGATCTGTGTCTTTGTCCTCAGAGAACGGCCCAGCGGCGTCCATCTGCAGCGTCCCCTTCGTCCCCCCAGACGTGTCTCTGGTATCAGGCCTGATCCTGCGCCACGTCCCCGCCGCCCGCCTGGTGGAGGACCTGGGACACGAGCTGACCTACGTGCTGCCGTACAGTGCTGCCAAGGACGGCGCCTTCGTGGAGCTCTTCAGAGATCTGGACATGAAACTGCCCGACCTCGGCATCTCCAGCTACGGCGTGTCTGACACCACACTGGAGGAGGTGGGACATGGTCACGGACCTCCAACTAAGAAAAACATGGACACAGACACACAAATGGCAGCATGACACGAGTTTTTATGGTTCCTGTTTGTTTCTGCAGATTTTCCTGAAAGTTGCTGAAGATAACGGAGTCGACACTGAAGTGCCCTCAGGTGAGGAAGCAGACCTGACTGTGATACCTGTCTTGATCTGTCGTGTCTACAGTGAAGTGTTGACTGTCTGTGTGTCTGTTTGTGTTTGTTCAGACGGTACACTGCCTGTTCAGAGGAGGAGGAGGACTCACGCCTTCGGTGGAGGAGACCATCAGAGCTGCCTGAAACCTTTAACTGAAGATGACAACAATGAATGCAACGACTCAGAGGGAGACCCTGGTACACAACAGCACACAGTGATACACGATACCACAGCTATCCTTGGGTCTTGCTTGCAGAGGGTCCAGCAGTGGTTCCCTTCAGTGGGTTCAGGAACCTCAAGGGTCTGTGATGATGGACTCAACAGGGAACCAACCGCTGCTGTGAGCGTTTGGTTCTTCTAAAGGCTAAACTATGAAGCAGGTTCAACAGAGCCACACTTTCTTTATGTTAGTTAGATCTACAAAACCTAAAACCCCCCCGGCAGAGAGAGAACAGATGTCAGACAGTGGCTATTGTCTTTGTTTTATTCAGTGGGTTTTGTAACGTTAACCAGGTTTGCAGATAAACCTCAG